GTTGATATAATTTTTGTTGATTTTTTTTATTTACACTATGCCAATAACAAAAAAAATTTACAGTCGTAACTTCTAAAAAATAATTATATGACCGGGGCTAGAAGAAGACAATGTTAATCTTATCATTAAGCCCCAAAATTTGCTATGGGTTTTGACAATAGATTGTATTAATGCCCTATGCATAAAATAGAAACATCTGGTATCACTGGATAACTGATTTGGTAGATTTTCTTAAAAATTGAAAGCAGAGAGTTGTTCTTGATGAGTTTGATTTCAGCTGGGTGGACATAATTAGTGGTGTGTCATAGGGTAGTTTCGTGGGTCTACTTTTCCTCATTGTTTACATAAATAGTTTGCCATCAATTATCAGTTATTTTACTTGTAAATTGAATGTGAATGATTTCAAAATCAATCAATAAAAAATTTTGCTCATATTAAAGATGCTTCAGATTCGAGCTACAACTAGATGCTATAATGGAAATGTCTGATAATAGCATTTAAATCTAGTTGTAGATAATAGTACATAAAGTTGAACTCTAAAAAATGCAAAGTGATTTATAAGGGTAAAAACAAACTCAAAAAAATAACTATATGTTTGATCTTCTACCATCCTAAATCTCTTAAAACGAACATGGCAAGCCATGCGAGCTGCTCCTCTAAACAGCTTTTTAGGAGAGCTTTTGACTTTTGCATAAGTTATCTGTTTATTCATTAAAAAAATTGTTTAATAAATACAAAATTTTGGTTTTATACTTGTTACAGTATAAAACCAAAATTAAAAACAAAAAAAAAGGATTTGTTACCCAGGGCGCAACAAATCCTTTTTTTTTTATTATGAGTGTTGAAGTTTATATCTTTATTTAATGATGAACGTCTAAGTTAGAAGATATTTGTCATATAATAAAGTTTAATTTTCAAATAATTTTTATTTTAGTTAACAAGTTATCAATGATGCTTATTGAATTTAATCAATTTTATTACTTCAAAACAATTTTTTACGCATTTGCAAATTAATTAATGATAATATGCGAATCAATGGATAATGATTGTAAATTGTTATCCATTGATACTAAATAATGAATTTTTTTTCAATTTAGTTAACTAAATTTATTTAAAAATAAATTTAGTTAACTATATTTTTTTACAAATAAAAAAAAGTATAAACTTGAAGAAATTAGAATAAGCTAAAAATAAAATGAAAGTTTTCTTGATATTTCTTTTTTTTAAACGTTTCAAATAAATCATGGCTATTTCAGAGAGAGCTTTATGGCTCCTTGTTTTTTTTTTTTTAAATTTTAACGTAAGGGGTTGTTACTAAAATATTTATAACTTTTGATATATTAAAGATAATTATGTTTTGTAAAAGTAAATATAAAAATAAAAATAAAAACAACAATAAAATGTTTTATCATATGACAATTAATATAATAGTAAAAAAACTTCTTTTAGTTTATAAAAAACACGACAAATGATGAAATTGACTGAATTTTAGTAATTTGTTGTTACTTTTTTATCAACAAAAAAATTGAAAATATATATTTCTAATATTTATTAACAAGTTATAAATATTATTAGACTATTATAAAAACAAAAAAAATATTGCTCAAACTTTATGTTAATTGAAATAGAGAAAATAAAGTCATAAAACAAAATGGCAAAAAATTATTAGAGAAAATGTTTTAAAGTTTAATGTGTTACATCATTGCTTTAATAACGTAAACAAAAATTTACACGAAAAACTAGAAAAAGTTGCTAAACATGCCAAGTTTGAAAATATATTTGCTAACATAGCAAAAGGTATATAAAATGATTTTTATATTTTCATCTGCATAAAAGGTCGAAATTTCAATAACTTACGTCATCCATCAATAAAATTAAATTTTACATTTAAGAGATAAATTTAAATGTATAAATGCATTAAAAATTGAATTATAGTAAAAAAAATCACCAGGATGACGTAAGAATCTGATAGAATAGACATTCAATGATAAGTGTTCTAAATTTCAACCATAAACCATGTACCTGTATTAGCGAATCTTGGTTGGCCCAAGACAGGCTTTCCGTAAAAATTGCCAAAAACAGAAAAGTGATCCAAAATCATTTAAAATATTTTAACAATACTACTAATTTAAAGTTAGTGAATTTTTATACTTTTTATGCAGAAATATTTTTTTTTTAAGCACAAAAATTCTTGTGATGTCAAGCTCGCTTTTATATTGAGTGAAACAGCCATGTAATATCAAATTAAGTATTTAATAATAAGTTAATAAAAATATCATATTATTGGGGTTGTTAAATGCGCAATAAAACACAAAAACTATTATAAGCATATTAATTTTATATATTCTATTACATTCTTTTGCTATGTCTTTTGCTAATTCTATTGTCATTTCTTTTGCTAAACTTTTTTTTGCCATTTTATATTACAAAAACAACAATGGATTAAAAAACTCACTCATAAATGCTTAGTGTCACAATGACATCATTTGACAGTGCAAAGGTTTTCAAAATCATAGAAATTTAAATTAATTTAACTTAACTAATTATTTGAAGTAATTACAAAAAAAAGGTTAGAATTGTATCGTCATGACAACTTGTATTACAGAGCTGCAACAGCCAAGATACTGGCAAAATTAAAAGGCGATCAACAAAAATGAAATTGTAAAAATAAATTAGAATAAAACAGAAACATTTTCCATTCCCCATGAATGGAAAATGTAGATAAACAATTGTCATACATAAATGTGTGATGTCACTGCTAAAAACAAGACTAAAAAAAGTTACATCAGACTAATAGAAGGTGAGTGGTATCTCAAATCTCATAGTTTCAAAAAAAATTATTGTTTTATATACATATATGTATATATAATAAGATTCTAAAATTAAATAAATATTATATAATAAGTTAATAATAAAATAAAAAGTTTAAAATGTAAAAAATGTCATATAGGTACCAAACAAAATGATAGAAATACTTGTAATTTTTAAAAGAAGCCAATATTTAAAGTGTCATTTTTACATAGTTTAATTGTTTATTAATACTAGTTTTTTCATACAGATGCCTACATTTTTTAAAATTTTAATACAAATTTATTGGAGACAGAATCCAAACCGAGATTTTATTCGTTTTATATGGTAGGTCATTTGTGACAGTTTCAATATAACAATATATAACATGACTTATTTTAGAAGATCAACAATAAACTGTTTTTTTTTAACCTAGAAAGTCAAGTTTCAAACTTGTTATTAAGTTTCCATTATGCACACTACTGATTTTAGGAAGGGGAAAGGTCACGGGTTGCACACAGCTGTTTCAGAGTGGACATACGGCTTCTTGTCATTTTTTGAAAATAATTACTTAAAGGGTGTTACTAAAACTTTCATCACTTTTGAAATATTAAAGATAAATACGTTCTGTAAAAAGAATATAAACACCGACTAAATGTTTTATGTTTTATCATTCAATATAATAATCCAAGGCTGCTCTGATTTTTAAATAAACGTGCAAAATGACAAACTTGGCAGAATTTCGAAATTTTATTGGTACTTTTTAACAAAAATAATCAGAAAAATTATATTTCTGTTGACTAATATGTAATATAAACATAGACCAATTATAAAACATATTAACATTATTTACACCGAATGCGAATTGGTACAGGCACTACAATAGGCGAAATAAAAAAATCGCTAAATACTTTTTTTTTTAAAGATTTACAACAAACAAAAAGAGTTTCGAATTATTTTTGCTTTTGGTCATTGAATTATCTCCTGACGCTTAGGTCAATATTACATATTAATACTTTTCTGTAGAAAAAAATTTTGTAGACAATTTAAATATTTTAAAAAAATTTTGTAGACAATTTATTTTGTAGACAATTTAAATAATTTGATAACTCGTTTTGGTGGATTGACATAAAAAAAAATTTTTTAGTTAATTTATTTATATATGTTCTATAAGTAGTAAACAATCTTTGCATGCAATTGATACTAGTTTTATTTCCATTTCATTTGGAAAATACTGCCAAAGTTTGTTTTATTTATATACTAAAATTTGTCTCACTAAAAAAGCTGTTTTAATAAATTTAATTACATAGTGAATTGGGAAGTAATGCATATAAAGTTACATCATTGCTTTAAAATATAAACAAAAATTTTACGCATGTAACTACAAATTTTGTTGCTAAACCTGCCAAGGTTAAAGACGTTTTAGTTAGAAATACAGAAAGTAATTTTTTTGATTTTCATGTGCATAAAGGGTTGAAATTTTAATAGTTTGTAGGGCATAAAAAAAATTGAACGTTTTTCATATAAAACAAGTAAAAACAAAAACAATAATGCTAAAAAATCTAACTATTTTTTTTTCTATGCCCTCCAAAAATCTGATAAAATAGACGTTCGTTTATAAGTATGTAAAATTTCAACCATCAAGCATGGAGCTTAAAATATCAAATCTTGATTGGCCCAAGACAGGTTTTTCTTTCATAAGTTGTAATTTTGTAATTGTAAATTTAAACAAAAAAATTATATTTAAAAAAATGTTATGTTGTATCTAAATTAAACATTTCGTTGCAATGTAAAGTTTTTAATTTGATTTTATTTTCTACTGATTTATCAGCAAATTTATAAATTTGTCAGGTATTTTGCAAATAAATTAATTTTGAAAATAAAGGAATTTTGTAAATAAATTTGTCAGGAGATTTTGCCAGAAAATTTGCATGAGGGCAGCAAGAAGACTAAGACTAGCACTTATTATTCATTATGCTTATGATGTGTAAGCCACCTCTTTTTATTTATTAATCTTTCAACTTGTTTTAATAAGTTTAAAATTTTTTTTGTTTCCCACTTACATAAAAAAGCACTGCTGAGCTGAATCAATCTTGCAGTATAGGTTGAAGAATCCATATCAGGCCTTGAAAACCAAATAATATAATATAAATTTTAATTAAATAAAATATTGTAGTGTCAACTTTTAGAAATGTCTCTAATCTTCTTTTTAGTGAACTACTTGCAATGACATGTCAAATAGCTAACGCTTTAAAGCGAAGAGGGGTCCAAAAAGGTGATGTTGTGTGTTTGTATATGCCAGCCTCTCCACTGGCTGTTGCATCTATGCTTGCTTGTACAAGAATAGGGGCTGTTCATAGGTGAGTTTTTTTTAATTACAACTATGCTTTATATATATATATATATATATATATATATATATATATATATATATATATATATATATATATACATACATATATATACATATACAAGCTTGGTCAGGAAGGTGTGTGATTTCACATAATATGACCATGCAAACTTTGATTTTAAAAACTTGACTAAGGCTTTCAAAATGTTTTGAAAATTACAGATTCACAGATTCACAAATTGTGATCGCTTAATTCAATGCTTGCTTATTTTCTAATTTTTTTAAAATTTCACATTTATACTAAAACTCTTAAGAATTAAATTTGAATAAATTAGGTTGCATCAAAAAAAGCACCGAAGACTTTTTGAATCAAACATTTTTTTTTAAACATTCTGTTTAATATTAATGCAACTTGTTTTTGCACTTAGGGATTCCTTTTAATGTAACCTAAGTATCAAAACCATTACATTAATTGTAAAAGTACATTGAGTATATCAACTGTAATTACAAATCTTTATATTTTTTGGTAGAGTTATTTTTTATATTTATATTTTTTTATTTTATTTTTGTTTTTATTATTTCTTCATTTTTATTTTTAGATATAGTCTCAGGTGCACCAGAGTCAGTGTTAGGGTTAAGGATTAAATTTTTTTTAGGGTGGTCCCTAATTACATAAAAAATAATAGTTTTAACACTCTACAAGCCTAATTTTATTATACTATAAGGAATAACCATACAAAAACCTGGACCAAGTTGAGCAATTTTAGGAGTCAATAGGATTTCAATATTTTTTGCAATTAATTTTGCTGCATCTTAGCAGAAATCACACTGTTTATTGTTTAAATATTTATTTATTTTTTAGTCGCCCATAACAAAATTGAGTATATATTGACAGCTACTACCAAAGTTTAGCTTGTCAGCAAGGCCACCAATCAATTCTTTTCCGAAAGATTTGCTACAAACGGTATCTGCTGCCTCCTCTTTAACTTCCTCAAAAAATAAGCCTTACCTTGAGAGGGTGAGGCTTGGGTGAAAGAAGTAGTTATTTTTTAGCAAATGAAATCAATGATAAATTATAATTTTTTACAGCATAATAACAACTTTAGTCTACTCTAGCATTTTCACTATTTCATTCCTAAAAACTCTGGTTAATTGACTCAAAAAAGTTATTTAAAATAAATCATGGTCTCTATTTTTTAATCCCATTTAATGAGGCTTCGCATCCCTGACACCTGTTGATCAAAATAAAGATCTTAGGAATTTGTATTGAAAATCTGAAAAATTTTCTAATCACCTAAATCTTGCTAATTTTGGTCTTGAGAATGATAAATTGGAGTACAAAGATATTGATTTACCTACAGGTTACTTTAAAGATTTTTTCCATTAAATAGAAAATGGAGTACACAAGATGAATCAAACTCTTGGGTCAAGAAGATCTAGTTTGAGCACTCAGAGACCTTCCAAAGAGTGGAAAAAGCTTGCAGATAGGAATAGGAAAATTACGGAATAAGCTCAGCGCCCTGCAGAATTAATCAACACCCTCAACACCCAGTAGAAATAATGTAGCACTAAAAAATCAGTGCAAAAATTTCAAAAGTATTTGTGATGAGAAATCAGTTTGACCACCTACTCATTAGGTCAAACCATATTGTATCTTGTATTCACAAAACCATACTGTATTTTGTATTCACAAAACCATCTTGTATTTTGTATTCACAAAACCATCTTGTATTTTGTATTCACAAAACCATACTGTATCTTGTATTTACAAAACCATACTGTATCTTGTATTCGCAAAATCATATTGTATCTTGTATTCACAAAGTAAAAAGTGTTTCTCTAACTTTTATCTTTTATATTTTCTGTTATTTATTAAGGGATAATAAGAAATTATATAATAAATAAAATAAAAAGAAATATAAAAGAATTTTTTAACTTCTTATCCCTTCAAATTGGGTTTCTTAATATTTTTTTTTAAGTAAAAAAGTTTTTTAGTTTTAAAATTCAGCAAAAGATTAAACTTATTAAAAATTTAATCAAATTTTTTGAAATAAAAGTTCTTACTCCTAAAATATCTTAAAACATCTAAAATATCTAAAAAATAAGATTTTAGGGTATTAAGATATTTTTTATGATTTTAATATATTTTAAGAGTCAAATCTATTTCTAAAATAATAATAAACTTTTCACAAAATGTTTTGCGGTTTGAAATGATTTGGTTTATTTATCAAATATAAAAATTTTGAAATGAATAGTGAGTTTATTAAAAAAATTTTACAAAAAAAAACCTTTTTCTAGTCATATTTTAATTATTTTTATGTTTAAAATTTTTTGTTTTTAGTGTGGTGTTTGCTGGGTTCAGTGCAGAAGCTCTTGCTGCAAGAATAAATGATGGTATAATAATTATTATGAAAGTATCAATTAAATCATGTCCTACTAATTTTTATGTTTCTTCAAATGTTTTTTACTGCCGGATATTGTGAACTGAAAATTATTATATGTTGTTGAGTGTGATTTACTATGTATTGAAGACTGTACTTTAAAATTAAATGTACAAATTCAGGCCTTGCGATAAAGCGTCGGGCGATGTGAATTTTATGTCGTCCAAGGGCGATTTTGCGTGTAGCTAGGGCTATTTGCGTCAAGCAAAAAATTTTTTGTTTGAGTATATTTAAAGATATTTTTGAGCGGAATTTTAATGAAGTAATTTACGATTATTTTAACATTTAATAAAGTATTTTAAAAACCGCACGCAGTTTATCTAAATGTTAGAATTACAAAAAAAATAAATAAGCTCATTAGTTACAAGTAGAAAAAATCAGATTAAAAAAAAGTTTAAATCTTTTTAAGCTAGCATTTTAATAAAATTAATCAGCAATAGCAAAGTTGTTGATAAAATTGAACAAAAATACTTTCTTTTAGTTTTAGATTTTTAACTTAAATAATTATTTTACAGGGGTTTGTTAGGTTTTAAAATTATTCCATAGATTTAAAAATATATATTAACTGTTAAACGAATTTAAAGTATTTAAGAGTAATTTCGAGGAAACATTTTAAAAATTGGTAAGCGCAAATAAAAAAAATAAAAAGATTAATATTAAAACGTATTTTACTTGATTCAATAAAAAAGTACAGTTATTAAAATTTTTGTAAAAAGTTACTCGAAAAAAATTACTTAAATAATAACAATCGCATTTTTGTTAAAAGTTATCGAAACTCAACGAAGCGTGCTCAAGAAAATATAGAAAATATATAACAGCTGCTGAAAAATAGAACGTCAATAGTTTTTCGAATAATTTTTGATAATAATTTTTAGGAATAATTTTTTCGCTGAAATATGTCTTTTATACCTAAAAGATTTTTATTCTAACATTTTATTTTATTTACCAAAAATAAAATTCCTTGTAAACATTAAAAATCTATTCAAAACGTTCGTTAAAGTTTTTTAATAATACGAGTGATTGTGCTTATCTTCCGCTTTATAAAAATAAATAAAAAAATATTATATAAAATCGCAAGTAAAAATATTAGCTATTGCACAGTTTTTAATCGTACATTATAAAAATTTCCAGTTTATTACTCTCTGACTTAAAAAGAAAAAATAATTATTTGAAAAACTTATGTTTTTTATTCCTTTAGTATAGACAAAACGTATCAAACGTCGAGAAAATAAACAAATGTTTTTACATTTTAAAAAATGAAACATTCCAAAACATTTTTAAATGATAACGTTATCATTTAAAAATGTTTTGGAATGTTTTCATTTTTTAAAATGTAAAAACATTTGTTTATTTTCTCGACGTTTGACACGTTTTGTCTATACTAAAGGAATAAAAAACATAAGTTTTTCAAATAATTATTTTTTCTTTTTAAGTCAGAGAGTAATAAACTGGAAATTTTTATAATGTAAATTTTTATAATCTTTAAATCGTTAATGTAGAAATGTTATAACATTTCTACATTAATGATTTAAAGAAGTTTTGTGGTAATTAAGTAAATTGGTGCAGTTAATGTCGATAAATATGAAAAGCAAATAAAAAGAATTTAATGACGTCAAAAATCACGTCGTGCTTATGCGTCGCGCAGTTCTTATTCATCGCAAGGCCTGCAAATTTGGAGTTTTCTTCTCAAATTTACCACATTACAAAAATTTTTGCAGGAAAAACAACAAATTTACTGCAACAAAAATGAAGATGTTAATCCAGGTAATCCTAGTAAAGGATAAAAATACTTATTATTATAAGCCAAAATTCAAAAAAAGAAGAAATGAGGTAAATAAAATCTTATTGCAACTTTTATCAATTTCAAAATTGTATACAAATAAATAAACTTCAAAGTCTTGGTAATACTCATGGATAGAAAAGTACATGCGCCAATTTTTAAAATATACCTCACCTGACATGACGGACAAATAACCAAAGGTAAAATTTGTCTGACCAGGTTGTTTAAACAATCAGGTAAAATGCAACGAAATCTTTTTTTTAAAATTTTTTAATGAAGAAGTATAAAAATTAGCAATTGCATCGTCATCGTTGGGATTGCATCCAATATTATACTTTTAAGATTGCTAAAATGGCTTTTGATGCCATTTGCTAAATGGTATTTTGCGCTAAACCATGACAAGTCACAAATCAAGATCGTCTAATTCACCTCTTGATGTATTTATTTACCAGAAGTGAGAATTTTGCATATAACTGTACGATTTAAATTAGGTTCTTTTTACTTCCATACCTGCTTTGAAAGCTCAGTATCAATTTTTTTATTTAGAGATGTTAAAAGGTTAAATGTGATTAACATATCTTAATTTAAATAGAGTCTTATACAGAGAGGAGTCACAGTTAGCAGAGGTTACAGTTGCTTGATATATAATGTTGCTTGTTAAATACTTATTGAACAACAGACAGTGGACAATAGATTTTATTAAGTTGCAGTTTTTTTGATAATGGTTTTTATAGTTGCCTAAAATGTATTGCTAATTTATAATAAATTTTATACTTGGCATACAGCTATAGCTAACATTGACTGTGTTCCTGTTAAAAGTTTTATGTGGCTTGTTATTATTAGGAGAATGTTTGTCAGTTATACTTAAAAACACTTTCCCACAATGGTAGCACCTTTTTTTTACTAAATCAAGGGTTAAACCAGATGATGTTGCATGCTTGGTTCCTTTTTTAAGTTGATAATGCTTTAGGATAATAAGAACTAGGCTTTATTATACACATGGACAGTGTTTTGAATTATTTTTTATAGAAGATTTTGCAGTCAATCTTAGCTCAACTGAGTGCAGTATTTGTTTTAGTATATTTTAAGGATAGTTTGAATCAGCACGGATGTAATTTAATTTATTATCATGTTTAAAATAAGGCCTATAAAAAGTGCTTTGCTTTTTAATAATGATCAGATCTTCTATGGTAGCATTCGACAATCCAAAGGTTTGTGAGCTGGTAGGAGTATTTCTTTTTATAAGAAAAATATCACAATTTTTTAACAAGTTTGAGTTTAGTTTATGTTGTAACTGTGCAGTTTTTAGTAATAAAAGCAGCTCTCAAATAGAAATAATAAATTGGCATATTGTCGAAATAATTAAATGTAATCACTTATGCATATCTATACAGCATAGATTATTTTTTTCCTGGAATTCCCGAAATTTCGGAAATTCACTTAAAACTCCTTTAATTTTTTAGAAATTTCCAGATGTTTTTTGTTATTAATTTGAGAAAAAAATTTTTACATAATATTATAAGTATGACCACTTTTGCATTAAAACAAATATGTTTTCTATAACTAAAATTTTCACAAGATCAATTTTCGAAACAATTTTTTTTTTGCCTTTTAATTCATTCAAATTAATTCAATTTTAATAAAATAATTTTCCGGGATTTTCATAAAGTCAAATACTCATCTATGATACAGTGCAACATGAAATTTGTTAACTACCTCGATGTTACTTTAAGTTTCAATGACTGCACTTTTAAATCTTATTTCAAACTTAATTATACATTTAATTACATCTATGCTGATTCAAATCATCCTTCAAGTATACTAAAGTAAATGTAGCGCTTAGTATAACTTTTTTTCAAGAGTTCATTTTTATTGTTGATTCATGTTTTGTTTCACCTACTTACACTTTGAAACAGTTTGAAATTATTGCAGATTAGCTGTTTTTAGGTAGTTTTAATTTGTTTTTAGTTAGTTTTAATTTATAATTAAAGATCTTAAGTTTGGGTTTGATCTAATTTTTTGGAGTTTAAGTTGTTTTAAATTGTTTTAAGTTTTGGTGAAAGACCTGTTACCTATGGAAAAGAAACTACAGAAAAATTACTGCAATATGAATTTTATTTTTATTCTGTCTTTTGTTGAGGTTATTAATATTACTTTATGCTTTAATATTACAAAGAAAAAAAAATGAAATTAAAAATAAAACTATTCTAGATAAAAGACTAGTATTGATGTTTATTAATACTAGTAAATGATATTAAAACATGTTGAATTCTTTTTTAATGAAAATATTTTTTAAATAAAATTGATATTTATGCTTATAGCATCCGTAAAAACTGTTATCACTGCAGATGAGGGTTTACGAGGCGGAAAGAGAATACCGTTAAAACAAACTGTAGATACTGCTTTGAAATTATGTTCAAGTGTTACTAATGTTTTTGTTGCCAAAAGATCTGGCATTGAGCTACCTATGCAAAAAGGAAGAGATATATTTTTAAATGAGGTGTGTTATTTTTAAATGAGTGTGTTTTTTTTAAATGAAGTGCATTATTTAAATTTAGTTTTAGTTACTTTAAAGTTCAACTTCACTGTTCAGAATTCCCACCCAGGAGACACCTACCCACCCAAAATTTGAAACCTCTTGAGAGTTCAGATTTTTTTAGTTATTATGAAAATCCCTACTACCTAGTCTTCAAAATTGGTTTGTCAATTTATTTGGTTAAAATTATTTTAAAAAATCACAAAATAAAAAAAGAAATTTATGTAAAAGTTAGATTTAAAAAAAGAACTTTAGAAAAAAAACTATTAGTTACATAAAATTAATAAAATTTCAAATAAAAAAACAAACAACAGAAAAGTTAATATTTTATTTGTAATATTTATACGTTTTTCTGAATTAAATATATTGTAGTTGAACAATAATATTTTGTTTTTTGTTTTTGTTGTATTTTTTTGGGTATTATCCCTGTTTTTTATCAGTTTTGTTGTTATTGTTGTTGGTATTTTATATTTTTTTCTGTTTATTTAATTTAATTTTTGATTATTGTCTTTACCTTCTTTAATTAGTTTTCTTCCTCTCAAAATAGTAAATTATTGTAATTATTATTATTGTATTATTATTACATTCATGTGATTGATGTCACTCTATTAACATAAGAAATTAATAATTTTTTTTTCCTTCTTGATTTTGAATTTTAAACAGTTTTTTTTGTGTATAAAATTTATTCCCTCTTTTTTTCTAAACTTCAATTATTTAGTTATAGTGTTGTATACTTTTCTTATTATTAATATTATTGTTGTTACTATTATTATAATTATTATCATATATATATATATATATATATATATATATATATATATATATATATATATATATATATATATATATATATATATATATATATATATATATATATATATATTTAAACAATTTTAAAAATGTATTCTACAAAATAGAGTGCTCAATGTTCTTAAAAGAACAGACCAATTATAAATTAGTAAAAAATCACTTAACAAAATTTTTTTTTTCATTTTACACTGTGTTTCATCAACAAAGACTCATCAGAAATGAATGATCAAATTAATAAAACTTCAATTTATACCAAAAAAATTACAGGAAGTCACAAATGTTTTAACTATTGTAAATTTTCACATATTTGTGGAATTCGCTGACACTATTATACAAAGAATTCTTTAGACATGATTACTTAGGCTTTTTTATAAAAATATTTTTAAAAGGGGGGATTTTATGTTACTATTATTTGGGCTCACTTATTTTTATAGTTTTTTAGGAGAAACTTATTTTTGTGCCTGCATTTAGAAATCAATTCCGATTTTTTATTTAACAAACATTCTTGGTTTGCATGTGTTATTATTTGAAATTTTTCTTGTAGACATAGTATGCATTTTTTGGAAATATTGTTGTATGCAGGTGCTGTTTTAAGGATGGACTAATTCAGTATAAAATCATCAATATTTTTATCTTTTAGTTCGCATATATATTTTGACAGCATGGTGTCTTTTGAATACTTTTTATTTTTAAAAGATTGCTTATGATTGGCAAAACATTTTCCATTCACCCTCTGTTATGCCAATATATTGTTTATCGGGTACATTCTTAGAGGAAACAACACATTTATATACCACATTTTTTGATAAACAACTTCCACTCATTGGACAGTTGTTTTTTTGTTTACATTTACAATTTTCTGTAGTTTTTTCATTTAGGATTTCTTTTTTATTTAACAAAGCATTATTGTGACTTTTTATAATTCCTTCCATATTTTTTGTGCAACTGTAGCTAACTTTAATTGTATTTTGATTAAAAATTTTATGTAATTTATTAGAGGGATGGAAATGCTTATCGACCAATTTTAAAAATACTTTTCCTATGTTAGTGGAAACATTTTTGCTATATTGGGGGTTGAACCAAATTACATTTCTAGTTCTATTTTGTTTTTTTGTATTCTTTTTTTCAGGGTCAAATTTTAGTTCAAAATTTTTAAAACCACTTTTTTTAAGGGCATCTTCAAATATTCGTTTGGAGGAATTAAATACATTTTCATCAGAGGAGTTTTGGTTTAACCTGTTATTAATCGAAATCGGGATTTGTTTTAGAATTTGTGGTGGATGATTTGAGTTAATATTAATGTACAATAATTCATCATTTAGTTTTTTGAAAGGCTTATATGAATTTTCAGAGAGGTTAAATGTGACATCAAGAAAGTTCACAATTTTTGAATTTATGTTTATTTCAATTTGAAAGCCAATATTTTTAAAAATTTTTATAATATCTTTTCGAATCTTATCAAGCTGTGGACCAGATTTTTTACGCATTACTATTAAACCATTGTATTTACAGTAATTTACATTACATGTATTTACAGTAGTTAAAACATTTGCGACTTCCTGTAATTTAATTTTTTGTTATAAATTGAAGTTTTATTAATTTGATCATTCATTTCTAATGAGTCTTTGTTGATGAAACACAGTGTAAAATGAAAAAAAAATTTTGTTAAGTGATTTTCTACTAATTTATATGTATATATATATATATATATATATATATATATATATATATATATATATATATATATATACATACATATAAATTAGTAGAAAATCACTTAACAAAATTTTTTTTTCATTTTATATATATATATATATATATATATATATATATATATATATATATATATATATATATATATATATATATATATATATACATATATATATATATATACATATATATATATATATATATATATATATATATATATATATATATATATATACATATATATATATATATATATATATATATATATATATATATATATATATATATATATATATATATATATATATATTATTTTTTAAGGTTATGTTTAAAGGTTGGTTTTATTTACGTCTTTTTTTTTTTTTTAATGTTGGTTTATAACAATAAGGTTATGGTTTACTTATGATAAGTATTTTATTGCTATTTGTAAATATTCGTGAAAATTTATTTTCAGAAAATAATTGTTATAATGATTTAATTATGACGGTGTTTAGTTATGGCGAGATAACTTATGCCACCATAATTAATTATCCCATCATAGTTAATTTATGCAATAATAATTAAATAATACTTAAACCACTAAAAGGCTACTGAAAATTTATCAAGATTTGATGTTTTGTTATTTTGAAATAATCACAAAACTAAATATGAACAACCTTATAAATACGAACAACCTTACTTTTTCAGATGTTCACATTTCTGTGGACTCAGCTGAATAATTTATATCACATTTTTAACTTATGCAAGTCCAGAAAGAACTAACAGGGGATTGGGGATAGTTTCAAGAAATCTTTTTTTTTCTGAATTTTAGTTTTGATCGTAATCTTAATTATACTTCTTTAGACTTTTCTTCGAACCTTATATAACAATTGATATATGAACTTTATATTTATTTTAATTTTACATTGTGATCAAATTTATATATTGATAATTTTATTTAATATTTATGTTATTATTATATAAGTTTATATATTGATAAACAATAAATATATTGCAATTGAAATTGCTAAAATTGGTGCCAATATAATGCAATTTTAAATAGTTAAAAGAATCATGTTGTATTGTATTCTTCCTCCATTCCATTTATAATATTACCCCCTCCTCCAACCTTTCCTACAATCTTTATAAACTAACAAAAACAAAAAAGGAAACCATTAAAAATAAAAATAAAATTTCAGTAAAAGATTTCGTTGGATTCAACAGTAGATAAACCTAAAGTAAATAGTAATGCAGAGTATAATATAGCATTGATTGTGTGAAATTTCTTTAATAACATACCTTGTAATAAATATATGTCAACCAAAAAAACAATTAAACGGGCAAAAAGTTGACCATGTAAAAACAACTCTTTATGAGAAAAACATAAGTTGTTACGAGGAACAAATATTTTTGAGATAAGCATTAGTTATTATGAGGAACAAATCTTTTCGAGATAAACATTGGTTATTACGAAGAATAAATCTTTTTGAGATAAACATTAGTTTATTTTAAAATCTTTTCATTTTTCTACATGTTCTTTCAAAATATTCTGTTTTTTTTTTCAAAATATCAACTTGTTGAAGAAAATTACCAAAACTTTAATTAAAGGTTTTTTTTTACTTATTTGATCTCAATAACTAATTTCATTTCTGCTTTTTGTGGCTGGATTCCATGATGTAATTTCATTTCTATAGTTTTTTGTGGTTTAAGCTGGGTTCCATGATTTAATTTCTTTATTTTTTTTAATATGGTATTTTCGAAAAATTGGAGCAATTTTTTATAACTGGATTCTCTGCCTGATGTTAACTTGTTTTGCCGATCAGGGTTTATCTAAGGCTCCATCAATTATTACCCACAATTATTTTTTATTTAAAATGTTTCCTTTTTCAAGGTCTCCCTGTTCCTTTACTATCATGGTAAAGAACCTCACCTCTAAATGATTATAATTATTCAACACCATTACTATCAAACAGTAATACATTAACTGCATTGCTTTAAAAGCTAGAAAATTTTGTTTTGTTAATGCAAAGTTGTCTTCTTGCACAAAGTGATATGTGCTGTCAATATGAGTTTCAATTAGTTTTCAAAATATTCACACAACTTTGTGGAGGGGGGGGGGGGGTCCATTCCTCATTGAGAGTAATTATGATTTTTACACATAAGATTGTTAAAACATGGGGTTGTTTAAACATAATCTGCTAGTTATAAAAACTTAAAAAATTTTGAATTTCGTTTTAATTCTAGGCCATGGCTGTTGAAAAGACTTTTTGTGATCCTGAGGTGATGGATAGTGAAGACACAATGTTTATTTTGTACACATCTGGTAGCACTGGAAAACCAAAAGGTGTTGTTCATACACATGCTGGCTACTTATTGTATGCTATGCTAACACATCAGGTTCTTAACTTTTTTTGTTGTTGTTTTTTTTCCATATAATTTTTTGTTTTTTTCCTTAAATATTTTGTGTATTAGTTATTTTTTTTTAAATTATTACAAAACAATTCCTTATATGGGCACAAAAAAATCTTTATATTAGGAATTTGATATTATATTTTTTATAAAATAAAATAATTATAAAATATAGTACTTGATTTATATAACTTCCTAATATTTGTCGTCAAAATCAAAATCAGATTCAATAGTTTTGTTTATGTAAAACACAAACAAATATTTTTAAATATTTGTTTCTGTTTTAAATAAACAATTAATAAGGAAGCTATATAATCAAGTGCAGAAAAACAGTTTTTTATTTAAGGTAACTGGTATAAAAAGTACATACTATTGATGTATTGCAGATTGTAGTTAATAGACTGAAAAAAAAGTTCAATATTTGTTAAAGCACTCTAAAATATAAAAGCACACAATAGTAAATAAATTTTCTCAAAAGTTAAAAGCTATATTAGTTTATATTAATGTGAAAAGCTATATTAACTTAAATTACTGTTAATGGGTTGAGAATTCAAGAAACAAAGCCTAGTAAAGATTAGATTGCAGTTTTGTACCTTGTCAATAGATAATCTCAAAAAAGATAAAATAAAGGATTTATTTGACATTCAGGGATATAGAAATATCAACAATATTGTGATAATTATTAACAGTAAGTAAATAGGTTTAGTTTAGTTTTCAAAATTCACCATACACTGAAAGGTCTGAGACTGAGCTGTCTTATTAAATTCAATACACACTGAGAGACCTGAGCCTGAGTCTAATTATTTAGCCAAGATTTGCTGCTTCAAATGAGATATAGGGTATGGAGTGAATACTAGTTAGATAAACGGGGTGTTAACATCCTCAAAACATATTGATAATACAATCATACCCAAGAAGAAAACTGTTTCTGCTATGTAGGTAATAAGTGAATCACTTGTGTTTGTTTTTCTTTTTCTTTTATTTTAACCCTTTGCATATTTGTGTCAACATATATTTATAACTATTTTATTAATTTTAAATTATATTACAGTTATAAGTTCATATAATTAGTATTACAAATAATCTTTATGCAAATTATAATATACTTAAGTAAATCATGTTATAAAAATTATTATGAAAAATTATGTTTTAAATAGTAATAAAGCTTTTACAAATCTAAATTGTTGCATTTATGAATGAAGAATTAAATGCTTTACTTTTTTTTAGACATTTTTTTTTTTAAAAGATGATTTTCCTTATAAGAAGTTCCATTTTTTTTAGCTTGTATTTGATTATAAGCCTGGAGATATACATGCTTGTGTTGCTGATATTGGATGGATCACCGGGCACTCTTATGTTGTTTATGGACCTTTAGCAAATGGAGCTACAACTGTTCTTTTTGAAAGTGTGCCAAGTTATCCGGATCCAGGACGATATTGGGAAATGGTTGAGCGGTTAGGTATTAATCAGTTTTATGGAGCACCCACAGCTATTCGTTACTTGCTTAAATTTGGGGATGAGTATGTTAAAAAATACGATCGTTCTTCCTTAAAGATTTTAGGTTCAGGTTAGAATTTTTTTCATTGTTATTTTGCTTGAGATTGAGTTTTTTTTGGTTTTTTGGATTATAAGATTTCTTGTAGTTTTTTTGGTTTTATAGACTTTTAGGAAAATGGTTTTAACATTGTTTTTTAAATTTACTTAGTGGTAAAACTATTTTAATAGTAGATTTGCAATAATATTTTTTAGAGTAGAGTTATTTCATAAAAGCAATTTTGTCATTTCTAAAATACATAGATTAAAATCAAAAGTCATGGTTTTAAAACATTAACTGATAATGCAATTGCCTGAATGAACCTGCTTAAAATTGTAGTGGTTTAAAAGTAATTACTGTTTCAGAAATTTTTGTAAAATTTTTTTTTAGCCATCAGTTAGAGACTTTATTTTAGAAGAAAGTTTTATTGACATTAAAAACATAAAATAAGTAATTTAAACATTTATTTCACAGAGAAACGCCTGTCTACAGGTTTTGTGCATTCTGCAATGAACTGGAAAAATGTTTTTAGATTAAAGAATTATATATCATATTGTCAGGTTACAAATCATGTTTTCCATGATCATTATATAAGTTGTTGGAATAGTAAATAAAAATGAACTGCAAATAGAAGAAAATACAAGATTGGTTCCTGTAATAACTCAACACCTAATATATCTTTTATTACTTTTCACAAAATATTTTTAAGTTGTTGATTAAATTTTTGATATATCTAGCAACCTATTAACTAGAATAAAAATTATTTGAAAATAAAACTCCCTTATTTGATTAATTATTTAAATCTCTTTTTTTAAACCTATAGTTTGATTAAAAATTTCTTTAATTCAGTTGGAGAACCAATAAACGAAGAAGCTTGGCATTGGTATCAAGATGTAGTTGGAGATGGAAAATGTCCTGTTGTAGATACTTGGTGGCAGACAGGTAACTTGCCTGTTATTAGTTTTATTTGTGTGTTTGAAATTATAATTGTTATATTGGAATAATTTTATTTTTAAAGAAACTGGCGGAATACTTTTGACACCACTACCTGCTCCTAAAAATTCACTTGTGAAACCCGCATGCCCTGTTCGTCCATTTTTTGGAGTAGAGCCTGTTCTTCTTGATAATAAGGTTATTTATTACATTGCCAAGAATTTTTTTTTTTTCTAATTAATGTAAATTTACCTCAACATGGTTAGGCAGGCTACAATCAAGTTTTTTTTGAATCTATTAATTTAATTTTTACTTTAAATAAGATAAAATAAAATTAAGTTTATAAAAAACTTTTTTTAGTTTATGTTTAACATAAGTTAAGCCAGGGATGCAAAGCTGGAGTCCAGGAATCCCTGTTTTTTAGTGGAGTCCAGAGTTCTGTCCACCGTAAAAATAAATTAATAAAATTAAGAAATTAATAAATTTGGCAGATAAAATGTGATAAGAATGCTAAGAAGTGAAGATTAGTTATGTTTGCATTTGGTAAGAGTAACTATAAGAGCTATTTTTTCTAAACTGTTATAAAAGTTGCATAAATTTTTTTAATGTTTTTTTAGCATTGTATATTGTTTTATTTTTATTTAATTATAATAGGGCAATGTGTTGCAAGGAAATAGTGTTCGAGGTATGCTATGTATAAAAAAATCAATACCAGGCATGTCTCGAACTCTGTATGCAAACAAAGAGAGATTTCTTGAAGCATACTACAAACCATTTCCAGGTAAACCATTCTACCCTTTTTATATAAAATTTGTAAAGTAACTTTTAACTTTTTTTCTGCTTTTTATTTATTTATTTTTTTCTGTCTTTCTTTTTTTTTTATTCAATCATTTTTATTTTATGGTCAATAGTTTCTACATTTTAGATATTTATTTACTTAATATTTTTAACTTATATAATGGTTTGACAATTACAGTGATGTGACATATATACTGATGTTATATGTATAGCATGGTGTGAGATTTATACTGATGTCATATGTATAGCATGGTGTGAGATTTATACTGATGTCATATGTATAGCATTTTTGGTAATAAGTTAATTTGTTGCTTAAATAAAACTTAGATAAAATTCTGCACAAAATTTTACATGTTTGAGGTCTTTAGTCATATTGAAGGCAATATACAGACAGATTGACAAAAAGCATACAGCTGTTTAAAATTGCTTTAATTATTTCCTCATGCCATATTTAAATAAGTAAATTTTGGAAATATTTTAAATGTAATTACGCAAATCTGTCTAATAAAAAAGAAGTGGAATTAAAAAATTTTAAAGGATAATAAAGTTTTTTGTTTTTTTTAATCAGGTTTTGTTGATAATAGAATCGTTATTTTATTTTTTTGTCATGGTTTATTCCTTGTTTCATTGTATTACCTCTTGTTTTATAGTATTATCCATTATTTAATTGTAATAACCTTTGTTTTATGACAGAATCTTGCTTATCATTGTATTTCATTTCAAGTTATTTTTTTTTGAAGAACTCAAAGTATTGATTATTAATAAAACTCCAAGTTTTTTAGTCATTCAAAAAAAAAAAAATTCTTTTAATAGGCTATTATTTTACTGGAGATGAAGCATTAAGAGATTCTGATGGTTCTTACCATATAACTGGTAGAGTTGATGATGTTATTAATGTAAAGGGTATAAGATTAGGAACTGCTGAAGTTGAAGACATTCTTGTAAGAAATTTAAATACTGCCTTTTAATCCATTTTTTCTTTTAGTTTAGAAAAAAAGCATTATTGTAAATTGAATTATATTTTTATTGTATATTAAAACAAATTTTTATTGAAGAATATTGAAATATATTTTGTAATAAGTTTTAATAAACATGATTTTATTTTTTAATAATTTTAATGCAAATAAAAATTATTTTGAAAATTTGTTCCCTTGAAAAATCAACATTTTTTATAGTTATGTTTTAAAAAGGGGTTTGTTTTTTTGTTGCTGTACAGGTAAAGCAATCTCAGAATGCTATGTGTTTTTTAAAATCCTCATTAGGGGTCTCAGAATGTCAGGTTGAATAATATTTATTATTATTATTGCTGATTTTGTATAGAAAATCCTGAACATTGGCTTTAAATGCTAAACAATTATTGTTAAATAATTGATATTTTTTTCAATATTAATTCACCTCCCCAAGGCCAAGAAGAGCGCTACAAATGTGGAAGCTACTTAATTGTGATTATAACCCTCTCTCAACTCGATAACTACAAAACAGTAACCTTGACAAACAAGGTTCAACAAAGGAATTTAGCAAATCTTTTTGGAATATAAGATTAAATTATGCCCTTAAATGCACAAAAGTAATGGCATGCATCCATCTTAACAAATTAGCTATAAACTCATAAAAAGTAATATTTCTATGAAAGAAGCAGGTATGGCAAAGAGAAATTGATACAAATCAAGTTTACAATCACAGGGAATTGATGCTACTTCAAATAGGTTAGTGTATTCTAGGAGAGGGAAAAGTTGTCAAAAGATGATAAAGGCGAGTTTCCACTCATCTGTTTTTCAACGGGAACGGGATAGGAAAGGAAAAAATAATCACGTGAGCATGCGTAATAAGAGTTTTTATTTGTCCGAAAGAAAACTGCGCATGCTCAGGTGATTATTTTTCCGTTCCCTTTCCCTTTCCCGTAGAAAAACGGATGAGTGGAACTCACCTTAAGATAAAATAAGGAAAGCGTACATCCTTTTGTATTCTTTGGAGGAGATATTGCAATGTGCAATATCTCCTCCGAAGAATACAAAAGAATTAAAACAAACTCCAAATCTCCTGATCTTCACAAATGTCATTGGTAGTCAAGACCACTGATAAGTGCATATAAAGTTTTTGTCTGTTATTTAAATATAGGTAAAAAATGTTTAAGTGGTGAGCTCAGTGTTTAGTTGATGCAGGAAGATAAGTTCTTACTTGCCAAATTGTTTACATTAATGTTTACATTGCTGTGCAATTGTTTACAATGTTCACTATGGAACAGCAAGCTAATGAAAAGATAAATATTTTAATAGATAGCTTATCAAATAATATCTGATAAATCATTATCACTTGAAGAAATACCTAGTTTGCTGCCTGTAATGAAAGTAACACCTAAATGGAATAAGAAAAATGTTTGAGTTACCCATGTTCACAGCTCAATGGAGCAAAAAAAAAAAAAGTACTGGTTAAAATAATGTTAGCAATCAAGGAAAACAAAGCCTAAAAAAGGAGCAAGCTAATAAATAAATAAAAATAAATAAAGAAAATCCAGCTTCGAGAGTGCTTGTGTTGCATGTTTAAAACTACATGTAGTAAATTGTTATGCCAAGGTGAAACAGGTTCAAAGCCAATATGATCAAACCAATTAGTGAACCAATTAGTGAACCAATGATCAAACCAATTAGTGAAAACTTAAAAAAATTCATTTTGAATTTGATGAAGATAACTTTGAAGATTTTAAGAAACTTAAAATTATATTGGTCTTATTGACCAATATAATTTTACATTAGAAAGTGGTTTTTTAAATTATAATAAAGATGTATGTTACACCTATACACCCTTATGCACATACAGCCTGTTTACATTGTTTGCATGCTTTTTGTTCTTTCATAGATAAACTATCTTTGTTTAAACTCATCCTTATTTAGATAATATTTTCTTTTAATAGATAATATGTGGTTGAAATGTAGATAAAGATTTGTATGTTATGTATATATGGTTATCATGTGTGATTGAGTTTTAAGGATTTATATATATATATATATATATATATATATATATATATATATATATATATATATATATATATATATATATATATATATATATATATAAAATAATTGTCATTTCGAAACAAAATTGTTATTTTTGGTTTTATTACATAAAAAATTGCGTTTTTTTAAGAAAAAATGAAAAAAATGCATTTCTAATGTTTTTTTATGATAATTTTGATAAATAAGTTAAAAATATTTCAAAATAAATATTATTTTTGAAATATTTATAAAATTTCGCTTCATTTGAGTACCAGGTTGACATATTTTTGAAAAACTTTTTTTGGAAAATATTAGGGATCCATTAAATATTCGAGGGTCTTGAGGGACCCCTTAAAATATTTTTTATTCAAAAAAAATTTAAACCTAGTGTTTTTGTATTAGATAGTACACATTTAGGGGGTGAGAGCAGATTATTTTCGAAAATGTTGTTTTTTGGGACACCCTAAAATATATATATATATATATATATATATATATATATATATATATATATATATATATATATATATATATATATATATATATATATATATATATATATATATATATATATATATATATATATATATATATATATAGTTATTTAGTATTAAAATGAAAAAAATACAACTTTTTGTTGGTACTCAGAGTTTCATGCCTGGTGGCAATCATCAGCCATATATATCTTTTTAAATTAAGCAATGCAATGGGATCTGACGTCAAAACATCGACTACACGAAGTCTACCTTTAGCCTGTGTCGAATTGACAAAGAAGGAATTTATTTCTATGCCTACATTTTGATATAATTTCAGTCTTTTTATTTAATAAACTATTGTCATTATTTGAAATAATTTCATGTTTTTCATTAAGGCATAATTTGCACGATTTTGTTGTCATTTTATATGCTTCACATCTTCTAATTATTTTCCAATTGATCACAGGATTTTTATCATTATCTTTTAAGTTCCAAACCTCCTTTGACAGCTCTGTATCGTTTCTATACTTGGGGATATTAAATGATTTCAATTAGTTAGCATATTTCAGTTTGAAAGATGTTTCACAAATACCAATGTATGATTTTTTTTATTGAAGGGTTATCCGAAGTGATGGTTGCTTGGTATACAATGTTGTTGGTCAAGCAGTTATTGTGTAAAGGACAATTGTTTTTATTAAGAAAGTTGCAGTTATCTTTATTAATGGTTAGATTTTTGTTTAGGATGTGGTTGTTGTGTAAATTTATTATTGATTTTATGTTTGGCATGCAACTGTAGCTGATTTTTACTGTGTTTTTGTTGAAAATTTTGTGTAGTCTGTTGTTAATTGGAAAATGTTTGACAATCAAGTTTAAAAAGCTTTTTCCTATATTTGTGGTGACATTTATGCTATAGGGTGGTTTGTACCAGATTATTTAACGCGCACGGTTTTTCTTTTGTTGTTGTTTCAAGTTAGGTCGGTAAGATAAATTATGTTTATAACCAGAGTTTCGTAGTGCTTTATTATAAATAGGTACAGATTTTTTAAACACCTCTTCGCTGCTAGATTTTCTGGACAATCTGAGTTCAACATTTTGCAGTAGTTGTTTTAGTATATTGGGAGGGGGGCTAGATTGAGCATGTATGTAGTTTAAAGTATTATCAGGTTTGCAGTATGGTTGGTATGACTGGTCGCAGAGGTTAAGAGTTACGTCGAGGTAATTCACAATTTTAGGGTTGCACTGTATAGATATTTTGAGATTGTTACATTTGAATAAGTGAGTGATATGCTTTTTAATTTTCTCCATTTGCTGACCAGTAGCATTTTTAAAAACTGCTAATCCCTCATCGCGGTATAAGCCAAAGTCATATTTACTATAAAAATGTGAAATTTGAAAAAGAATGAATATCCCAACAAACTCACATATCTCTGCACCATCAAATGCACCCATTGTAACGTCAAACAAACCGCCTGACTTTTTCATTCAAACCTGGCCATTATTAAACAGTAAAGATTTCCTTGCATGAATAATAATTGACTTTTGTTCTATGCTTATAGTGACATGTTTTTCCGCAAAACTGATAGAATCGTTAAGGAGTTTTTCACTAATTGAAGGGTAGAAATCGTTGATATCGAAGATGAGGAATTTATAAAGGTGTTTATCTTTTATATTTTTAAACCAATTGATAACATCTTAACTGATTAAGATGTAAAGTATTTTTTAATTCAGAGTTTAATTTTGAGAGAATGTCTTTACGAATTCTACCAATTTCATATTTTGCCGGATTTATTAATCTAACTGTTGGATTGTTTGTAAAATTAGTTTTATGGTCTTTTAACGTTGTGAAGCAGTTAGAAGATGCATTAATGTCAATTTTGTTAAAAATAGCATGATTCTTTAAAAAGTTTTTTACCTTCTTTGTTTATTTTATCTTTTATTTTTAAGTTAGCTAGTTTGTAGGTAGAAATAATGGCGTTTGTCAACAAGTGGTTATAACTGTCTTTTGATAAATTATACAGATTAGAAGTTTTATCAGCGTAGGTATAAGTTAATTTAGATTTGCGGATGTTTGAAATATCGCTTTTTAGTCTACTTTGAAAACTGTTGGTTTCTTTGCAGAACTTGATGTTTATATTAGATCTATTATAAAAATCTTTGTTTTTATAATATTGATCACTTTTAAACGAACAAGAGTTTTTTTGTACATTATTATACAAAAAACATTATACAAAATATATAATATATATATATATATATATATATATATATATATATATATATATATATATATATATATATATATATATATATATATATATATATATATATTATATATATATATATATGTAAGAGCAATTCTTATAAACTAGTGGTTTTTGACATGTTTTGATGATGTATGTTTTTCCTTGTTATTTTGTTATGGTCTCAAAATTACATTTAATTCGGACTGTAGAGAAAACTTTACTTTTTGGAAATTTCGATTTAGATATGGTCTCAAAGTTTCTTTTAGTTCGGATCATAGAGAAAACTTCACTTCTTAACAATTTTTTTTTCTGCTTCGTATATCGTTTTTATATCACGACTTATATCATTGTTATATTACTCAAAACTAATTTTTTAACCACTCATCTGGCTTTAATTTATCTGGTTTTATTACAATATTTAGTTAGTCTAAATGCAATATTTATTAATATATTATTTATCTTCTGATTTTCATATTATTATTGTTAACAAGGAACTTTTATGTTTTATTATCTTGCATTCATTACTCAGCTTTGTTTTAATTTTCACATGCACAATTTTCATCTTTATTATTATTTAGAGAATACTTTTATATCCTTCATTAAGTGTTTACATATATTCCGCTTACATTTTTAAGGTTTTTGTGCTACGTTCTTTTTTGCTATCATATATTATTCAATTATTGTTATGATTTTGGGTTTCGCGGGTTGCTCATCTTCCTACACTTTTGATTGGTTGACATAATTCAAATGAGGTATCTATGATAGCGATTGAGTTTATTTAAGGCTATTGTTGTTTTGTTGATTAAAATTTTTTTTAATGAAGTATGCTGCTTTCTGATTATCTTGGGCTTGTTTATGCTAATAATACCTATTTGGTTTTATTTCTTAAAATAAATTTATAAATATTTTTATGTTTCTATTAGAATTTTAGTTTATTTTTTTTTCATGTTTTCTTTTGGTGGTATGGTTAGTGTTTTATTTTGTTATTTGTATTTTTGTTTGTTCAGTAGATCTACACTTTTTATATCATATCATCAAACAAATATCGGTGCTTTACAAATTTGATTTTTTATTTAAATCTTATTTTCATGTTTTTCAAGTTAGTGTCATTTTAATGAAAAATTTAGTATTTCAAATTGGTACCTCAAAATGCCATGTAACTTATTTTCAGAATGACCTGAAAAACTTAAAGTTGTTAAAAAAAGGTTTGTAAATGGCTAGTAGGCTTTTTCAATGTCTTGTTAATTTAGAATTGTTAATTTAGTTTTTTTAGGACAACATGTATAATTTTTTTCTTTATGACTCAATATTACAATCTTATTCTAGATTATTCAGTAGCTTTCGCTACTTAATAAAAAAATTCTGTTTCAATGTTGCTTTAAAACCTGACCTTCTGAGGTTTCCTTACCTGTATGAAAAGTTTTTATTGGGCCTTCTGCCCAAACCATAGTTGATGTGTATGTATTAAAGCCCTCGTTGGCGGCTTTTTCAGTTTAATGTCAATAATGACTGTTTATGCGTGGCTAAGTTCATAAACAAATATTTACATATATATGCATGTGTGTGTATTAATACTTTTATATGCATGTATATTTATATTCAATCAGGATAATCATCATTCCGTTGCAGAGACTGCTGTTGTTGGCTATCCTCACAAAATGAATGGAGAAGGTATAAACATATATATATATATATATATATATATATATATATAC